CTCCTCCTCCTCCTCCTCCTCCTCCTCCTCCTCCTCCTCCTCCTCCTCCGCCACGCATCTTGCGCTTCTCTGGATCCACCCTGGGACCGGAGGAGGAACTGAGCAAAAAAGATGGGCGCCCGACACTAGCTCCGTAGTACACGCCACCAGGGCCGAACCAGGTTGCATCGAAGGCCGCCCCGTCCTCCTCGCCACGCATCTGGGGCCAAGCCACTACGCAACGGAGGCCAGGAACCTCCTCCAGGTCGCACCGGCAGGGCATGAAATATGACAGCTCACTGTCCAGCCGTCTTTGGGCCGTCTCGGAGCCTCTCGGAAGCACGCTGGATATGCGGTCCTCGGGGGATTTGGGGCCGTTTGGGAGCCCCGATATTCTCCAAAAGGAAGGACTGAGTGCATCCACGGAACACACGCGGTGAGCTGCGGGGCGCAATTTTGGACCTCCCCCCTCGTTCCTCTTCCGCGCGCCGGCTGCCGCTTCCTCACTACTCCCTCCCCCTCTTGCTCCTCCTCGTCTTCCTCCCCCCGTCCACCGTGCCTGGCTGATGGGGCCCTGTGGGAGGCCTCTCGGGGCCTCCTGGAGGCAGTCTTGGGGCCTCTTGGGAAACCTTTGGGGCCGCACGGGGCATCTTTTGGTCCTCCTGGGGGCCTCTTGTGACCTCCTGGGGGGCTCGTGGGGCCTCTTGGGAGCCTCAGAGGGTCCCGCAAGAGTCATGCTCCCACTGAACAGAACAAAAGAAGATACACCCGACGCATGAATGGGCACACAGCACAATCCGCTGCACCGCAGAGGCGCTGCTGGAAAGTGAGATTGCAGCATGGCGTGGCTCAGGCAGTGCATGTCCCAATCTGCGAGAGGACTGCCGATACAACCTCGGAGTCATCGTCGAAACACTGAAAACGGTCATCTTCTCTCCTCCCTGCTCCCCCCTCCTCCTGCTCAGCCTCATCATTGTCCTCGGCGTCCCTCCTCCTTTGTCTGTCCAGCCGAGGCCCAAGAAGCTAATTGTTTGCCTCTCTAGTGAAGCCAGTTCGCCCCTTACGAATCGTGCCCCGGACGGAACTCCTCCTGTGGAGCCCATGGGCAACTTCGCGGCACATGCCTCACACCGATGGTGCCCCACAAGGAGCTGCACCTGCTGCGTCAGTGGATGTGTTCCCGCGGGTGCATCCAGAGAATTCGACACACCCTTCACGCAAACCGTGACCACAACAAGGAGTTCAGCGCGCCAGCGCACGCCCCCTATCCGCATTGCCCCGCGGCGCGCAGTATATGAAGAGAGGGCCGCGCCCTGCGCTACGCGTGACTGCAGAAGGTTGCGCCCTTCACCAGGTTATTTGTTTGCTTATCGAAGACGCCTACGGCGAATCACCGCCGCCCCCTGCCTTTTTGGAAGCGCGTATGTGGCCGAACGTTGAGGCCAGACCTGCCAAGCTATCGGACCACGTGTTCCCCGAATCGGTTTGGAAAGCCTTCGGGGAACACGTGGGCATCTTGAAGGTCATCTTGGCAGTCTTGGAGGCCTCTTGGGCAAGCTTTGGGCGATCTTTGGGGCTTTTTGGGCCGTCTCGGGCCAGCTTCGAGCCAACTTCGGCCATCTTGGTGGGTTCCTGGCACGTCTGAAGCCGTCGGAAGCCGTTTGGGGGGCCTCTATGGGCCGACTTGGGGCCCGCTTGGAATGCTCCAGGGCCGTCTTGGAGGCCATCTTGGGCGTCTTGGAGGCCATCTTGGGCGTGTTGGAGGCCTCTTGGGCCCCTCTAGGGGCCATCTTGGAGGCCACTTGGGCCATCATGGGGCTCTCTTGGGGGCCTCTTGGGCGATCTTGGGGGCTTCTTGGGCCGTCTTGAGCCGTCGGAGAGCCGAAAAGGCGCAAATGCCAAAATCTTTCAAAAACCAAGGGAAAATCAATGATTTTGGCCTCTTCGGACTCTCCTGGGGGACCTCTTGGAGGCCTCTTGGGCCGTCTGGGAGGCCTCTGGGGGGCCTCCTGGGCCGTCTTGGGCCGTCTTGGACTCTCTTGGGCCGTTTTGGAGGCCGTCTTGGACCATCTCGGGCGGACTTGGAGGCCATCTTGGGCCATCTTCGCGACTTGTTGAGGATGTCCCGAGCGAAACGGCCGTTTTTGGGCATTGACAGACGGATTTTCGGAAACTTACGCGTGGCCGGCGGGACGGGCCGAAGCCCACTGGGGAGTTCTTTTAGAAAAAAAACCAAAACCAAAACCTGAAACGTCCAGCACGCCGTGCACCCCTGCAAGCAGGGGGCGGCGGATCTACGGGCATTCGGCTCATACTGCCACCGTGCCTGGGTTGTGGGTCAGAGGCTTCTGGGATACCTGTTTGTGGTCTTTTGGCATGCTTCTCGGGCGCCTCTGGGCGCCACGTGTGAAGCCTCTGGGGGCCTCTTGGGAGCTGTTTGGGGCCTCTTGGGGCCTCGTTTGGGCCTCTTGGGGGCCTTTGGGGCCTGCTGGCGGTCTGGGGGGTCGACTTGGGGCGGGGGGCTCGGAATGTGAGGTGGAGTTCCCCCCCTCTGGCCAATCTCAGGCCGTCAGGGGCGCCCATTGGACCGTCTTGGGGCTCTCTTGGGCCGTCTTGGGGCTCTCTTGGGGGCCGCTTAGACCGTCTTGAGGCGATCTTGGGGGCCTCTTGGGCCGTCTTGGACGCTGTTATACGCTCAAAGAAGCGAGTATGCTGAAAATGTAGCAGCTTCCAGAGGGAATGGGGCAATTTCGGGCATCTGGGGCGCTCTTGGGGATCATGTTTGAGCCTTCTTGGGGCGAATTGGGGGCCTCCTGGGGGCTCTTCGGTCATCTTGAGGAGGCCATCTTGGGTCGTCTTGGGCGCTGTTGCGCCGCTCTTGTCGCTGTGTCGTGTTCCCTGGAACTCGTTTGGTCGGCCCGGCGGGGGGCCCGGGAGGCCCCGGGGGGGGGCCAAAAGGGGGGCGAGGCGAGGCGAGCGCCGACTCCGCTCCGCGCGCGCGCGCGGGGCGCCTCCTAGAGAGGACGGCGGTGGAGCCCAAAAGGGGGGGGGAATCCGGGAGGATGTCCTGGCCCGGGGCCCGGGGCCCCGGTACTCTGGCATATGATATATATATATATATATATATATATATATATATATATGTGTGTGTGTGTTTAAAATATACACATATACGTGTATACAACTATACATATATATATAGTACGTGCATGTATATACACATACGTACGTACATGCATACACATATACACACATACACACACATACATGCATACATACATACATACATACATACATACATATATACATACCCACATATGTATACATATATGTGAATGTGTGTTTATCGGTAGTTTTAGATATGTGTGAGAATTTTTATATATATATATATATATATATATATATATATATATATACAAGGATATATGTATATGTGTGACGTTAGAGCAAGGCGCGGCCAGCTCATATCACGATCAGAATGTCGATGTTCTGGACGCCGTAGTTATAGCCTGAAGCCAAGCAGCGCAAACTTCACGAAGTAAAGCCGGCCCGTCACGTTGAACGTGGGGTTCAAGATGGCGAACGGCGTGGTAAGCCAGAAAAGCCGTTACCAACTGGTGCGCGCTGGTGTGAGAAGGCGCCAGAAGAAGTAGCCGCAGTGGAAGACTTGGTCGGGCGTCAGCCGTGCGTTGGACTGCATCTCCGGGGTCTGGAGTTCCAGCGGCCAGAACCATCGACCAAAGCGGCACACTGAGTAAATAATGCTTTAACTCGTGCAGACACCCCGCACATCCAAAAACACATGGCGATATGACATCAAGGTGGAGGCGAGCACTGGTTGTCCACGCATTGGCCCAAGTCTTCAGGATCGCTGTTGACCATGCTGGGGAAAGTGACTGCATAAGAAAACGTACGCCGTGTGCATCAAATGTGCCCCTCTGTGAGAACGACGTGCAATTAGAGCCGGAATAGAATCCGAGAACAATGCCAACCGAAGCTTCTCTGCGATGAAGCGTTGTATCTGCGCCTTTGGACGGCCGGCTGGGTCAGCCAGGCGGCGTTGGTCCCGCAGTTAATGGCGAGCTTCGGCAACAATGGGTGGCAAGATACTGCCCAGAATGCTGTGGTTGGGTAGCCCTTCGGAGGCATCGTGCAGGATCAAAGCTATGGGAGCAGAGTCCCAATGGCGAGGAGATAACACTCCGGCCGCAACGTCGATCACAGAGAGATGCTCCGCAGCTGCAGCGCGAAGAAAATCCAAATTTGCTTGCCAATCTGTTATCGTTGTTAAAGAAGCTCGGACCAACCGCGAGATAAGGTCGACCAACATGCTATCGATTGACACCGAACCCCAAACATGCAGACTGAACATGTCCTCGCGAGAGAAAGAATTCGGGGGAATGTGAAGAAGACGATGAATGGCATAAAGCTCTTGACGAAGGAGGCGCTTGGGATGGAGGGCAAATTGACGAACATATCCCAAAGTATGTAGAGCATGGATGTTGTAAAGAATGGTCGCCGGAGTAGGAGGGGCACCTATAGCAGCGATCATGGCGACCCGGGAGTGGTACTTCTCTGCAGGCGCGCGCCACATGAGGTTGCCGACGGTGGTCCCCAGATTGAGCCCCAAGATACTTTGCAGCCGGCGCAATCGTGATGTCGATCCAGTTGGGGATGCGCTCTGCAATCCAAGTGCGGATCATCGTTGCAAGGTCATCCGACCAAGGGCGCACTGGAACCAGACAGCACTTGCGGAACTTGAGGGTGAGTCCTGCCAAGAGTTTGGCAAACTTGAAGATGCGTGCCATAGTAGGGAGAACATCCAAAGATGAAATAGCAGAGCCAACGTCGTCAGCGCAGGCTCGCACGATACCCCGGCCTGCCGAAACAATGGCATGATCAAACCAATTCAAGAAAGGGTCAAAGGCAAGGACGAAGCAGAAGCTGGCCAGAGGACACCCCTGGACGATTCCACGTAAAATGAGAAACAAGTTCGTGATCTTGGTACATCGATATATGTATATGTGTATGCATGTGTCGATCTTCATACATGAATAGATATACGTATACATACATGCATGTATACATACATACATACACACATGCATATGGATATACCTGCATAAGGGCGTACATGCATACATGCATGCATGCATGCATCGATGCGTGCATGCATGTATACGTACGTACACACATACAGACATACATACGTGCAGACAGACAGGCAGACAGACAAACAAGCATCCATACATGCATGCATACCTGTATGTATCAATACACAAATATGCATGTCACTGCGTGTATAGACATGCATACACGCATGCATGCATACATACATGCATACATACATGCATACATACATGCATACATGCATGCATGAATGTATGCATACATCATTACATCCACCCGTCCATCCATACATATATACATGCATGCATGAATACATACATAAATGTGGTGTAGATCGCATGTGCGATATATGTGTATATACGTGTGTATATATATATAGATGCATATATATATATATGTTTATATATACACACACATATATATATATATATGTATACATATTCGTATATACGCATATACAGCATACATTGGCCGCATGCAAGTGCAAACATGTGCACAGGTTCCGCCTTGCAATGTATGTATGACAGCCGAAAGCGCCCTCAATCGCATCATCGACTAACGCATCGACACCCGCAGGGGGAAGCTGAGCCCCCAGCGAAGGAGATCGCCCTCGATGTGGTGCTATGCTGAGTTGCCTCCAGGCGAGGAAGGCGCGGCGGCGTAAGAATGGCGAGGCCAGCACGAGGGATCGCGGGACATCACAGGATTGATGATCGACTGGGCGTTGGTGCACGGACTCTGACCAAATGCGCGCCAGTCGTCGTCATTCGCTTGCGGCGCGCTCACGAACAAAATAAAGGATCGTGCGGACTGGGTGTGAGAGAAAGATACAGAGAAAAATGGGAGAGGCAGAAAGAAAAAATGAGAGAGAGCGAGAGAAAGAAGGAGAGGGAGAGGAAGGAGGAGAGGGAGAGGGAGAGAGATACGGGAGAAAGAGAGAGAGATATATATACACAGGGAAAGGGAGAGAGAGAGAGAGAGCAAAAGGAAGATAGAGAGAGAGAGAGGAACAGCATGAGAGATGAAGAGAAAGAGGGGGGAAGAGAGAGAGAGAGAGAAAGAACAAAAAAATACTGAGAGAGCTAAGAGCTGAGAAGGCTGAAAGAGATGAGAAATGGCGCAACGCCTCGGAGGAGGGGGCCAGAACCTGTCGGCCTCTTCCTCGTTAATACCACCAGCCCCTCACGGCGTGAGTGATTTAGAGAATGTCCTCGTCCCGCCCTCCCTTCGTCTCCTTCGGGGAGGGGGTTATCCCTCCCCCATACCCCCATCCCCCCCGACCTGGAGGGGGGGTCGCTGATTTTGTCCAGGGTTTGGTCCAAATTGGGCCTCGTGGAGGGACAATGCCATTTGCGTGAGCCCCCTCGTTCTCTGTTCGAACTCCAAGATGACCCCTGGATGGAACCACAGGCTCCCAAGAATGCAAAGAGGGCCCCGAAAATCCTCCTCCATCCTCTCCCTCTCAGGATACGACGGCTTCCCCAGCCCTTCATGTCACTGCATGCACCTCCACATCCCTAATCAGGGCAATTTGCCTGGGCATCGCTTCTGGATGGTCTGGTGGGGTTACGCGAAGCGTATAGAATTGTCCCTCTACCCTCGTCATACATCATAGATCGCCCTCATCCTCCTCCTGTTCCTTCTCCTCATCCTTCCTCTCCTCCTCATCATAATCCTCCTCATCATCCTGCGCTTGCTCCTCATCCTCCTCCTCCTCCTCATCATCCTCTTCCTCCTCCTCCTCCTCCTCCTCCTCCTCCGCCTCCTCCTCCTGATCTGGCTTCGCGCTCCCCCTCCCCCATGCTGCTCTCAGGAGGAATCGCCGCGCGAAACGCCGCGCACTAAGAGCTACAGTCACGCAACAAACCCTTAAACTCGTCCACGTGCTCCTCTTCATCCACTTTTTCTGATTATGGGTCGTAAGATTATTACTATGGTTAGTCATCTTATTATTACTAGTATTAATAGTAGTAGTGATATTAGCTGAGCGTAAAGATTAATAGCGTTGGCATTCTTAATATCAGTACTAAAAGTATTAATACTATGTGTTCTTAGTCGACCTGTTTAATACTAATAATCGTAGTGTCCGTCTTGTTCTTCTGATTAGTCGTATTAGTGTCCTTGTTCATGTTAGTGGTATGTTGATTCGTCGTCTTCTCAAGTGTGGTAATAGTCGTTCGATAATTCTCATTGGTAGTGCATTAGTATGCTTAATGGCATGCGAATTGGTATTAGTGTTCGGTGTCGTCTTCTTACTTTTGCGTAGTAGCAATATTCGAAATATCAATAGGTGTGTTCGTGTTAGTGGTATCCGTAATATTCGTCGTAGTCGTATTTTTAGTATTAGCTTGATTATGCTTCCTCTACTTGTTTTTACTCTTATTACTGTCAGGAGCCTTCGTCTTCGTATTACTCGTATTACTATTTGTCGTCGTCGTATTACTAGTCGTAAGAGTCAGATTCGTACGAATATTGTGGGCATTGTGCTGCTGAAGAGTAGGAGTAGTTTCCGTCTTCTTATTAATGCTATGAATAAGATTCGTCTTATTCGTTTTTGTCTTATTCCGCTTCGTATTATGAATATGTTTCTTATTGGTATGGCTATTACTACCTGTATCAGTATTATTATTTATTATTGTTTCTTACTATTGGAACTATCCTTGTTATTCCCCCTCATCCTCGTCCTCCTCCTGCGTCTCCTCCTCCTCCTCCTCCTCATCATCATCATCATCATCAGCATCATCATCAGCATCATCATCATCATCATCATCATCATCATCGTCATCATCATCATCAGCATCAGCATCAGCATCAGCATCATCATCATCATCATCACCATCATCATCATCATCATCATCATCATCATCATCATCATCATCATCATCCTGTTCCTCCTCCGCCTCATCCGCCCCCTCCTCCTCATCCGCCTCGTCCGTCTCCTCCTTCTCCTCCTCCTCCTCCTCCTCCTCCTGCGCTTCCCCCTCCTCCTCCTCCTCCTTCCTCCTCCTCCTCCTCCTCCTCTCCTCCTCCTCCTCCTCCTCCTCCTCGTCCTCCTCCTCCTCTTCTTCCTCCTCTTCCTCCTCCCCTTCTCCTCCTTCTCCTCCTCCTCCTCCTCCTCCTCCTCCTCCGCCCTCCTTTTCCATTCCCTCCCCTCATGAATCACTTTTCCCTGTCGCACCCCGAAGCCAGTTCTACGGCGGGCCGGGCGTTCCGCCTGAGACTTCCTCACCATGACTCTGAAGCTAAAAACTTAGGAACAGCTTCACAGATGGAGGGCGGGTGGTTTTCAAAATGTGGCTATTGCCCTAGCACGGCGCACATTCGTTGTGTTATTTGCAAGAGTTTCACTGGTTGAGGGCGGGTTTTCAAAATGTGGATCTCGCATTAGCGCGTCGCATATTCGCTTTACGCAGTTGCAAGAGCTTCACGGATTGAGGGCGGGTGGTTTTCAAAATGCGGTTCTCGCCCAAGTGCGGCGGACACTCGTCTTGAAAGTTTGCATGAGTTTCACGAAGTGAAGGCGGGTCGTTTTCAAAATGTGGCTCTCGCCTTAGCGCAACACACATTCGTTTCTTGAAAATGCAAGAGCTCCACGGATTGAGGGCGGTTCCTTCTCAAAATGTGGATCTCGCCTGAGCGCGGCGCACATTAATTTTAACAGTTGTAAGAGTTCCACGGACTCCCATCATCAACGTACCAGAAATTGCGTTTTGGAAGGATTCTGGATTATGCGGGTGCAACAGTTACGTTGGTTCTCTGTGTTGAAATCCCTGGACTGGCGTTCTAGCGCGAGTCGGGATTGTCACAACGCAACAGTCAGGTTGATCCGTAGCGTTGGAATTCTGAGAGCAATATTCTGGCACGCTTCAGGGTCTTCAAACGGTTGTCTTCCAACGAGGCAGTTCCCTCCATGAGAATGAACCACTATAGGGGCATAGGAAGAGGAAGCTTGGAGGGAGGGTTTACTCCAACATCGTTGATGACTCTTGGGCTTACACAGGTCCTCCTCCTCCTCCTCCTCCTCCTCCTCCTCCTCCTCCTCCTCCTCCTCCTCCTCCTCCTCTGCCTCCCCCTCATCCTCCTTCTCTTCCTCATCCTCCTTGTCCTCCATTCCTTCCCATTAAACATAATTCCTCCCTGTCGCACCCCGAAGCCGGTTTTTGGGCAGGCCGGGCGTTTCGCCTGACTTCCTCACCACTTAGGACTCTGAAGCTTGCAAAGGGACAACAGCTTCACAGATGGAGAGCGGGCCGCTTTCAAAATGTGGCTCTCGCCTTAGCGCCGCGCACATTCGTTCGTACAAATTGCAAGAGCTTCACGGATTCAGGGCAGGTCGTTTGCAAAATGTGGCTCTCGCCTTAGCGCGGCGCACCTTCGTTTTAAAAATAATACAAGAGCTTCACGGATTGACGGCGGCTCCTGTTCCAAATGTGGCTCTCGCCTTAGCGCCGACCATAACTCCTTGAAAAAACTTGCAAAAGTTTCACGGATTGGTGGCGGGTCGTTTTCAAAATGTGGTTCTCGCCTTAGGAACGCGTATTTTTGCTATTTTCGTTGCAAGAGCTTCACGGATTGAGGGCAGTTCCTTTTCAAACTGTGGCTCTCGCCTTAGCGCCGCGCAGATTCGTGTTTAAAATCTTAAAAATGCGCAAGAGCTTTACGGATTCCCATGATCAACGCACCGGAAAAGGTGGTTTGGGAAGATTCAGGACTATTCGGGCGCAACAGTTATGTGGATTTGCTGTGTTGAAATCCCTGGACTGGCGTTCTGGCAATATTCTGGATCATCAAGACGCAGCAGCCATATTGATATGTGGCGTTGAAATCCCGAGAGCAATGTTTTGGCAAGCTTCAGGATTTTCAAACTGTCGTGTTCAAACGAAGCAGCTCATTCCATGGAAATAAACCGTTGTATGGGGCCTACGAAGAGGGAGCTTGGAGGGAGGGTTCATTCCAACATCGTTGATGGCTCTTGGGTTTCCACTGTTCCTCCCTCCTCCCCCTCCTCTTCCTCCTCCTCCTCATCATCATCATCCGCCTCCGCCTCCGCCTCCGCCTCCGCCTCCACCTCTGCCTCCGCCTCCGCCTCCTCTTCCTCCTCCTCCTCCTCCTCCTCCTCCTCCTCCTCCTTCTCCTCCTCCTCCCACTCCTCCTCCTCCTCCTCCTCCTCCTCCTCCTCCTCCTTCTCCTCCCCCTCCCCCTCCTCCTCCTTCTTCTTCCCCTCCCCCTCCTCCTCAAGTCCTTCTCTTTATAAACAGCTTCTCCCTGTCGCGCCCCGAGGCCAGTTTTTAGGGCGGGCCAGGCGTTTCGCCTGAGACGTCCTCACCATGTATGACTCTGAGCCTTCAAATTGGCAACAGTTTCGCAGATGGAGGGCGCGTCGTTTTCAAACATGTGGCTCTCGCCTTAGCGCGGCGCATTTCCGTTGAAAAGATTGCAAGGGCTTCACGGATTGAGGGCGAGTGGTTTTCAAAATGTGGCACTCGCCTTAGAGCACCGCACATTCGTTTAAAAATTCGCAAGAGCTTCAAGGATTGAGAGCGGGTGGTGTTCAAAATGTGGCTCTCGCCTTAGCGCGGCGCACTGGTTGAAATTTTACAAGCAAGAGCTTCAAGGATTGAGGGCGCGTGGTTTTCAAAGTGTGGCTCTCGCCTTAGCGCGGCGCACATTCGTTTACAAAAAATGCAAGAGTTTCACGGACTGAGGGCGGCCCCTTTTCAAAATGTGGCTCTCGCCTTAGGGCCGCCAAACATGTTCAATAGTTTCACGGGTTCCCACCATCACCGTACCAGAAACGGTGTTTTGGAAGGAGTAAAGATTATGCCGGCGCAACAGCTACGTCAACTCCCTGTGTTGAAGTCCTAGGAATGACTTGCGTTCTGGCACGATTCAGGATGGTCATGACGCAACAGTCAGGTTGATCCGTGGCGTTGGAATCCCGAGAGCAATATTCTGGCACGCTTCAGGGTCTTCAAACGGTTGTCTTCCAACGAGGCAATTCCCTCCATGGGAATGAACCACTATAGGGGCACAGGAAGAGGAAGCTTGGAGGGAGGGTTTACTCCAACATCGTTGATGACTCTTGGGCTTACCCAGGTCCCTCCTCCTCCTCCTCCTCCTCCACCTCCTCCTCTTCCTCCTCCTTCTCCTCCTCCTCCTCCTCCTCCTCCTCCTCCTCCTCCTCCTCCTCCTCGTCATCCTCCTCCTCCCCCTCCTCTTCCTCATCCTCCTCCTCCTCCTCCTCCTCCTCCTCCTCCTCCTCCAGCTCCTCCTCCTCCTCCTCATCCTCCTCCTCCTCCTCGATCCTCCTCCTCCTCCTCCTCATCATCATCATCATCATCATCATCATCATCATCATCATCACCACCACCACCACCACCACCACCATCATCATCATCAGCATCATCAGCATCATCAGCAGCAGCATCATCATCATCATCATCAGCATCATCAGCCTCATCAGCAGCAGCATCATCATCATCAGCATCATCATCATCAGCATCATCATCATCATCATCATCATCATCATCATCATCATCATCATCTGCATCTGCATCATCAGCAGCATCATCAGCATCATCTGCATCATCGTCATCATCAACATCATCAGCATCATCAGCATCATCAGCATCCACATCAGCATCATAATCCGCAGCAGCATCATCATCATCATCAGCATCATCATATGCATCAGCATCTTCATTTTCATCAGCATCATCACCACCACCACCACCACCATCATCATCATCATCATCATCATCATCATCATCATCATCATCATCATCATCATCATCATCATCATCATCATCATCATCATCCGCCTCATCCTCCTCCTCATGTTTATCCTCCTTTTCCTCCGCCTCCTGCCCCGCCTCCTCCGCCTCCTCCTCCTCCTCCTGCTCCCCCTCCTCCTTCTGCTCCTGCTCCTGCTCCTCGTCCTGCTCCTGTTCCTGCTCCTGCCTCTGCTCCTGTTCCTGCTCCTGCTCCTGCTCCTCTTCCTGCTCCTGCTCCTGCATCCGTTCCTCCTCCACTCCTGCTCCTTACACATGACTCTTCCCTGTCGCACCCCGAGACAAGTTTTTGAAGCGGGCCTGGGCGTTCCGCCCGAGTCTTCCTGAAGGTTGACGACTCTGACGCTTAAAACTGGCGACAGCTTCACGGGTGGAGGGCGGGTCGTTTTCAACATGTGGCTCTCGCCTTTAGCGCCGCGCACACTCGTCTGTAAACTTTACAACAGCTTCACGGATGGAGGGCGAGTCCATTTCAAGATGTGGTGTTCGCCTTAGCGCGGCGCACACTCGACTTAAAAATTTGCAGGAGTATCACAAATGGAGGGCGGGCTGTTTTTCGAAATGTCGTTATCGCCTTAGCGCCGCGCACACTCGATGTAAAAATGTGCCAAAACTTGAAGGGTTGAGGACGGTTCCTTTTCAAAATGTGCTTTCACCGTAGCGCCGCGCACACACGTCTCAAACATTCACACAAGTTCCACGGGTTCCCATGATCAACGTACCAGAAACGATGTTTTGGAAGGATCCAGGCTTGTGGGGGTGCAAAAGTTATGTTGACTCGTGGTGTTCAAATTCCAGGAATGGTTTTCTGGCACGATCCAAGATCGTCAAGACGCAACAGTCAGGTAAATCCGTGGCGTTGGAATCCCGAAAACAAAGTTCTGGCATTCTTCATGGATATTCAACCAATTGTCTTCCAACGAAGCATTTCCCTTAGTAAAAAGAAACCGCTGTAGGGGCATATGAAGAGGGAGCTTGAAGGCAGGCTTTACTCCAACATCGTTGACGCCTCTCGGGCTTACACTGGTCTTCATCCTCTTCCTCCTCCTCCTCCTCCTCCTCGTCTTCCTCCTCCTCCTCCTCCTCCTCCTCCTCCTCCTCCTCCTCCTCCTCCTCCTCCTCCTCCTCCTCCTCCTCCTCCTCCTCCTCCTCCCCTTCGTTTCCCCACCATCCTCCTCGCCGCGGGTCGCCCGGCCACTGGACGCCGCGAAGCCCACCGCCAGGAGCACGGACGCGGCCAGCGTGGCGGCGGTGGCCTCGGGCGACGCTGCGCGGCGGGAGCAGCGGGCGGACGCGGCGGGTTTGCGCATCGGGGGACGGGATGCAGTCCCCGCCTGCGTGCCAGAACGCCCGCGCGCTCGCAGCACACGAAGCACGCGTCCGCCCACCCAAATTCTTTGCGTCCCAGGCCTCGCGTAATTTCTGGAAGATGGTTCTTGTATCCGTATCCGTATCCGTATCCGTATCCGTATCCGTATCCGTATCCGCCCACCCACCAGCCAGACCACCCGCCACCGAGGGCCTCTGCCCGCCGGTCCGCCCGCTGGGCCTCACACACTCTTCGATTCCGCAGGCGCCAAATAGTCCAAGACGATCAAGCGCCGTTCGTGGCAAGCGGTGCAGTGCACCAGGAGCGACTTGAGGCACGAACAAACAAAAACGCGAGGGGGGAACAGGCTGGAGCCCGCTCAGACCATGAAAACGGGCGCGGGACTGTAGTAGAAGATGCGCGCGCGGACTGCGTAGCAAGCAGCGGGTGACCGGGGCCAGAACTTGTACAGGGAGTAGTCCCTGGGAGGGTACATGACAACCAGGAGGTGGTAGGCCCTGGTAAACTCAAACAGGCAGGGCTGCGATGCAGCGAAGGTCGAAGCCGCGGACCGTAAAAAGGATGCACTTGAACAGGCACGGCGAGCATGGAGTGGCGAGCCCAGAGGCGATGAGCTTGATCGAGTAGGCAATTGCCAGACGGACAGAGAATCCAAAAAAGGCACCCACGGAACCAAACATGACCGGGCAAGCCACCACACGTGACGTCAGGAGCCGGACAACGACAGTCCAAGCGGACGGTCAGAATACGAAGACGCCACTAGCGACAAGGGGTAGCAAACTGGAGGCGGTCTGGGTGCGAAGCCGGAAAACATAAAGTCGGGGTCGGATTCCTCTCGAACGGCACCAGAGACTCTGCGGGGGCGGCCTGGAGGCAGCGGCCAGGACCGGTGAAACCAGGCAGGTGCCCAGAGGGAGGAAGCCCCACCAGCGGCAGGGAGTCCAGAGTACGAAAACCCAGCCAACGCGGGAGGACCAGGCCACCAAGGGGGAGCGCAAAGCCCGGAATGGCGCCGCGACAGCGCCACGCCCTCGCTCGGCCCACTCCAGAACGTCGCGCCCGGCGGCCGCCAGCACTCGGAAAAAGACCGATCAGTGGACAGCCGACCGCCTCCCAAGGTCGAAGACGGCGCGCCGCCTGCCCTCGTCTTGCGCCGCGCATACCGCGTGCCAACCACTGGCAAACGCGGACCAAGCCTCGCGTTGGAGCCGTTCGACGCAGTCGCCAAGCGTCTCGCCAGCAGGGGGGCCCCCAGTCATCGGCCCGCGGGAATGTTTGCGCAGATTCTCGGCGCTCCCTGCCGCGGCAGTCCCGCGACGCCCCGGCCCTCTCTGTGGGCGCCCACCTGTTCTCGCGGCCGCGGACCGCCCCGCCAACCCGCGCGGCATCAGCGATCAGCTTGAAGGGGAACTGGGACACATGAATAAATACACACAAATAAAAATATCCCCCATATTTTCCTATATTTTCTGGGTTTTTGTTTTCCCCACCACTTCCCATATTTCCCCATATGTTCTGGGGAATCGACGATTAATTGTGTCTGTGTGTGTTTTCCCCTCTTGACAGCTCCAGGGCCGAGACGGGGGCGCTAAACGACGCTGGGGGCCGGGCTCGCGCGGGACTTGGCGGCCGATCGCGGCCCCCCCGGGTGGCCGGCGGCGCCGTTGGCAGCGACCTCGACCGAGGCGCCTGGCAGGACGTCGAGCGAAGCGTCCGCACAGGCGCCGGGGACGCCCTGGGCCCCCGCGCCCTGCCCCCCTGCAACATCGTCGGCGCGGCGGTCGTCGTCGTCGACCGCGCCGGAGTGCCGAGCAGGGTCGGCGCGGGCGGGGGCCTGCTCCCCGGTCGCCGTCGAGGCCAGGGGACGGCGGACCGTCGGCCGCCACCCTGGGGGTCATGGGCGGGCGGCGCACGCGGCGGCGCGGGCGGGGGCGGGGCCCGACGAGCCGCGCGCGCCGTCTCCCGCCCACCCGGCCGGGCCCCCCGCCGCGGGATGGTCGTCTTCGCCTTGCTGGGACGCGTACCGAACTCCCGCCGCCAGGTGACAGATAGCGGCGGCGTCTGCCTCTTCGGAGACAGCAGCGTTGGCGGCGCCTGCCTGCGCGCCGCCATCGTTGCCGGCCCCTGCTGGCTGAAGGGGGCGCCCGCAGCGCGGGGGCTGGCCCCCCGCGCGTCACCCGCCCAGGTAGGCTCGAGCAGACAAATCATTGAATGACTTCCGCGCTGCCGCTCAAGAGCCCACGCCGTCGGACGACAGGCGGGGAGCGACTGCCACAACGTGGAGTCTGTCCAATTCGCGCGCTCGATACATTGATGAAGGGGGAAGCAACAAGCCAAGCCCAGCGGCGGCATCGGGGCCCTGGGCCGAGCAGGGGCGACGCAAGACGGGGAGTGGCGATCTGGACATAGACGCAACAGCGGGGCGAGCAACCCGGGCGGGCACGGGCACTGCCTGGCGCCTCGCCCCCTTCAAGAAGGGAGCCGCCCCGGTCACCCCGGCCCTCGTCTCGCTTAAGGTTCCCTGGCTGCCCCCCCAAGGCCCGCGCGCGAAAAGGCTCGCCGCCGCTCTGCGCCGACCGGCCTGCCCGCAGAGACGCCAGAGATGCGACGCAAACCAAGGGCGGGGGCAGAGGACAAACTGCAACCACTGCATCCTCGACACGGGGTCGGCGGAAATCCGAATCAGAACGGTGGAAATCAACGCCGCCATACCCCGCATGGCCCGCGCAGGCAAACTCTCGAATCATTTCCGCACCTGGGCGGCGCACAGCCAAATCATCGCGTGAGAGCTGCTCAAGCATTGGATTTTATCGTACATCGCTTTAGTCGCCCATATAGTCTGCCAAAAGCTGGATCAACGCGCGGGGGAACCGCATCGCGAGAACGAGTCAAACCTGGGCGACCGACACCTTCATCGCCAGGGCGGCGGCAGGCGCAATCAGCACGGGAGGAATCAATCACACCCGAGCTGACACGAGCACGCGGCCCACCTGGACGATACTGGCGGGATAAGGGGCACAACCGCCATGCCCCCGAGGAGCACGGAACGCCGCCCCGGGCCCGGCGCACTCTCGCCGGTAGAAAGACCAGGGCGGCGAGCAGCCGAGTCATCGTGGGAAAATGGCAGGACGTTGATATGGCTCTCTGGCGTCGGGCCGCCCGCATCCGCTGGCGGATGGCTTGTCTGGGCTTCCTGGGGCCCTGATCACGCGTCGCCAGGGAAGCCCACGGCGCGCTCGACATAGGATGTCGAGGCGAGTCCGACAGTGACACCCGCAAATTGGTGGGCGATGTCCTGCGACTCCTCCGTCTCCCCCTCCACATCCTGCCCGCACTTTTCGCGCGCGCTGAGACGACGCCGGCGACGGCGCCCCCGACTGCGCCGGCGGGAATGCTGACGCTGGCGCTCTCAGTGCACGGGCGAGGGCACCGACGGCAGAGGTCTCGGCTGCGCTGGCTTGGATGCCGGGATTGGGATTCAGGCTGAGCCACCCACTACGACGGCATCGGCGCCACTGGCTGCGCTGGCGAAGATGCTGACGTGCAGGCGCCGTGCAAGCGGGAGCAAAACACGCCCCCCCCCCAGAAGAGCCTCAACCTCTGCAGGGAAGTAGACCGCCGTCATCCATGCCTCAATTGGGCCGAGCGCAGCCCGACACTGATCGGGGCGCTGTAATTCGCGATGATGGCGGCCCCATCTCCAACACCCCCATCTAGCTCAGCAGCGACAGGGCCGCTGCCACGGCCCGCCCTTCCCGCGCGCTAATGGGAACGCTGCAGCTCGCGATAGCGGGCCCCAGTTTGGCCGCCCGCCTCTCGCTCAACAGCAACAGGGCCCGCTGGCAGGGCTCGCACTACACGCGCGCACCTATGGGAACATCGTAGCTCAGGATAGCCGGCCCCAGTTTGACCGCCCGCCCCTCGCTCAGAAGCGACAGGGCCCGTCGCCAGGGCCCGTCCTCCTCGCGCGCGCGCCGCGGCGACGTGGCTCTTGATGGCGGGCCCGAACCTCACCGTCCACATCTCGCTGAGCGGCGGCTGGCGCTGCCGAAGATGCTGGCGTCAGTGCCCCTGGCTGTGCTGACCGGGATGCCGACGTCAGCGCTCCCTGGCGCGCTAGCCAGGGCGCTGGCATCGGTGCTCCCAAATGCGCTGGCGAGGATGCTGACGTCGGCACTCTCCGCGGCGCTGACAAGCATGCCGGCCTCGGTGCTCTCGACTGTTCTGGCGCGGATGCCGGCGTCGGTGACTCAGGCCGCGCGAACGGGGACGCTGGCGTCAGAACTCTCGGCGGCGCTGGCGGAGGCGATAGCGTCGGCGCCCCTGTCTGGGCAAGCGAAGTCGCTTGCGTCGGCGCCCCTGACCGCGCAGGCGAGAATACTCACGTCCGTTTTCCCAGATGAGAGGTCGAGACTGCTGGCGTCTCCGTTCCACGCTGCGCTGGCAAGGACGCTAACGACGGCGATGCAGACTGCGCCGACGAAGACGCTGACGTCGGCGCTCCACACTGTGCTAGCGAGGATAATCGCGTCGGTGATCTGAGCTGCGCTGGCAAGGACGCTGGCGTCGGTGATCCAGGCGGGACCAACGAAGACGTTGGCGCCGGTGCTCTCGGCCGTGCTGGCGAGGAAGCTGGCGTCGGCACTCCACGCTGCAATGGCATCGCCGCTGGCGTCGGGTGCCTCCAGCTGCGCTGGCGACGGCGATGGCATCGATGGCCCAGGCTGCGCCGATGAGGACGCCGGCGTCGGTGATTACCGCTGTCCGAGCAAAGATGCTGGCATCGGAGTTCCTGGCTGCGCTGGCGAAGATCCAAGCTTCGCTGGCGAGGATGCCGACGCCGGTCATCTCGGCTGCCGAGGCGAGGACGCTGGCGTCGGTGACCACCGTTGAGCAGCCGAGGGGCCCGGCGTCGTTTGTGCAAGCTGCGCCAGCGAGGATGCTGGCGTCGGCGCCCCCAGCTGCGCTGGCGAGGAGGCTGGCGTCGGTGCTCTCGACTGAGCTGGCAAGGATTCTGGCCTCGGCGCGCGTGGCTGCGCCGGCGAATATCCCGGCGTCGGCGCCCCCAGCTGCGCCGGCGAGGATGTCGACGTCCGCGCTGCGGGCGGCGCTGGCGAGAGCGAGGGCATCGGGAATCCAGGCCGTGCTGACGAAGATGCTGACGTCGGTGTTCCCACATGTGCCGGCGGAGATGCTGGCCTCGGCGCCCCTGGCTTTGCGGGCGAAGAGGTTGGAGTCGGTACTCTCGGCTGCACTGGCGACGACGGTAGCGCCGGTGCCCCCAGATATGCGGGCAAAGAAGCTGGCGCCGGAGCTGCCCGCTGCACTGGCGAGGATGCTGGCATCTTGGGCCGAGACTGTGCTGACAAATATGCTAACGATGGCATCGGCTGAGATGACGAAGATGTTGGCGTTGGTGCCACCCGCTATGCTGGCGAGGATGCTGGCGTCAATTCAGGCAGTGCTGACGAGGATGGTGGCGCCGGTGGTCTCGGCTGCGCTGGCAACGATGGTGGCGTCGGTGCGCCTGGCTGCGCCAGCGAGGATCGTGGCGTCGGTGCCACCAGCTGTGCTGGCGAAGGTGTTGACGTCCGTGCTCCCAGATGTGAGGGCCAGGACGTTGGCATCGGCTCTCGGCTGTGATGGCGAAAATGTTGTCGTCGGCGTTCCTGGCTGCGTGGGCGAAGATGCCGGCGTCGGTGGTCCAAGCTGTTCTGGCGAGGGTGCTGGCGAAAGCATTTCGATGAGCCGCGGCGCGGCCCGCTGCCACTGGTCTCCACTATCGCGCTCATCGATCCCGATATATTGTGGCTGATCGCGCTGGGTTCCACACCCAGGGGCGCCAACGGCTGGGCCGCCAGACGGGCCGCGGAAGCCGCCGAATGGGAGAGGGCCGCTGTCGCCGCCCAGAACCCAGCGGCGGCCGCCGCCGCAACGGGCGGCCGAAGCGGCGCCAACCGCGCCCGCGGCGCCCGCGGCGTGGGCGGCGTCCGCAGCGCCAGCAACGCCGGCAGCGCCCGCGACGCCACCAGCCCCAGCGACACCCGCAGCGCCCGCGGCTCCAGCGGCGCCAGCGGCGCGGGGGCGCACGCGGCGCCCGAGGCACTGGCAGCGCCCATGGGGCCCGCGGCGCCCGCGGCGCCGGTAGCGCCAGCAGCGCCGGCGTCGCCCGCGGCGTCCGCGGCGCCAGCAGCGCCCGCGGCGCTCACGGCGCCCGCGGTACGCGCACCGCCCGCGGCGTTGGCAGAGCGGGCAGAAGCAGCCACCCGCTGCCGCCGTCGCCGCGCCGCCACGGTCTCCATGACGCCGCGGCAGGGGCGCGCGCTTGAGGCGGGGCATGCTGGAGCCAACTTGAGCCAGAGACGTGGGTCAACCCCCCACACGAGCCCATGGCTACGAAAGGGCCACTCACACGCCTCACAGCTGCCAGGCGTCCGCCAGAAAGGATGGATGAGCAGATGAGCAAGCGAACAAGATGCCGGGAGGAAAGACGACGGAGGCGGAGCAGGGCGGAGCAGGGAGGCGGGAGGAGGAGGTAGAGCAGTAGAGAGGAACGAGGACGAGGACGGAAGGAAGAGAAGAGGTTTGTAGAAGAAAGTGAACCAGAGGAGGAAGAAGCTGCGAGCCCGCCCACCTGTTCGCAGCATCGATGCAAAGCGTATTGGACAAAAGAACATGTGCTGCAAATGTTCACCATCCCCATCCTCTCGTCTTTTGCCGGACTCGTCGTTGTTCCTGCTGGCTTGGTGTCAACTACGTCTCCTGCGCTGGGTCGTATTCCTTCCGATCAATCAGTCTCAACGCACGTGCCGCGGTCATCAGCGACACGACGCGGCGCATGCACAGCGGCAACAGAAGCAAATGGTGGTGGTATCTGGTAAGTAAACAGTCACTTTTTGCCAAAGAGGCCGATCACCGCTGAGGCGTCGATTGCGTGACACTGCGCAACGAGAGGCCAACCACAGTAATTAAGTACATGCCGATTGCAAGCATACACACAGTAACGACAGCGGTGATATCAACAACCCTTGCAGAGGGCTGCGTCGAATCCGAAAATCGGGACCGACGGAGGCTCCACGGGATCATCGCGCCGGTTCGCCACATGTTGGGGCACCACGTTTCCGTTTTGTCTCCGAGGCTTTTCGGTTCCAGACGCCTCGAGTAATCTTCAGGGGGCCCCCAGAAGCTTCCAAGACGGTCCAAACTGCACCACCAAAAGAAGCTCCCAGGCGCTCCCGAGAGGGCCCAAACAGGCAACAACACGCCCAAGGGAGCCCCAGAAGAAGCGTCCAATTCGCCCTCCAAAAAACAAAACGAGGACGAAGGAGGGAAGACGGGAAAGAGGCTGTGGACAGAGGGGGCGCTCAAGACCCAGACCGATCCAAACAAGGCACAGAGAGCTGGAGCTGGTCTTGCATTCGACCTCCTGACACGCTGCTGCGCCGGTATGGTGGCGACATTTGTCGAAGGCAGACGATTAAAGGCTATGACAACGATGAATTCAGCATCTGATCGTTTGCCCTTGACAACTATCACGGCTCGCCTTTGACAAGCGACTTCGCGGAGCAGCGGCAGCTGCGACTCGCTCTGCGTCGCCAGCATCCTTGGGACGGGTTCAGAGAGCTGTCGATAGTGTCCGTGCTACTGCTGTTGTCGCATCGCCCGTAGCAAGCATCCGCAGTCTCTGCAACACAAGTTCCCATAAAGCGCAGACGTCGAGCTGAGTTCAGGCTGGAACCCTTGAAACGACCCCCAAGACAGCCCACCAAATGCTCCCAGTCCTGGGATAGGTTGTCGTTCAAATTACCTGATTGACATAATTGTTACCCGTGGAGGCGGAAGTGCTTCGGTTGGTCAACAGAGGCGTCACGCTTCACACATTTGGCACCTGGCTGAACCTGAAATCCGCAACCCAAACCATGTCACTCCACACCCTCCAGCTCGACCCTTGCTATCACCACTCCTCGATAATTTCATCCACTTCTGCTGAGTTGGCTGGGGCATACCACGCTGCGCTGGCACACGACAACTCGGCCAACACTTGATCTAATGCACAACCAAAGACGAATGCCGTGTTGGACACGTAGATGCACGCGCGCAAACATGCACATGCTCGCGCCTGTATGCGTCGGCTCAAGACCTGGAAGACAGCTGCAAAGCTTGCGATTCTGCAATTTTTGCTGAACGAGCCACTTCGCGCGCGAGCCTGCATCTGCAGCCGAAGACGACGCGGTCTGATGCAGCCTTTGCTGAGAGGCCCCAGTCGCGGGCCTGCCTCTGGCCCTCCGTGTGCCACGGATGGCTCGGGAGAGCCGTGGGAGGGGGGGGGGGCCTGGGGTAGGTAGGAAGGCCTAACCTCCCGGGGCCGATAAAAAGGTGGCATAGGAAACGGGGGGGGGGGTCGCATCAGCTGAACGCGGCAGGTTCCCACGGCGCCTCCCGGCGCCAGGAGAACACCCGCGCAAATCATCGAGGAGAGCGGCCGGCGGAGGGGCCGCAACCACCTGCACGCCGCAGCTTTCGCCGCCCCCCGCCTTCCGACCAAGACCGTCCACGGCGGCAGCACAACAGAAAGCCCACCGAACCGATAACGAAATCGAAACCAATAGAGGAAAGAGAACTATGCACATACACCGATTCTGGCCAGGCCCATCCATGAGCCCAGGATCGGTGCATACGCCCTCTTACCTTGGCCCGGAAGGCATATGCACCGATCCTGGGTCAAGGATGGGCGTTGTCAGGATCGGTGCATGTGCATAATTCTCTTCGCCCGAACCAACCGACACCGACAAGCCAAGAAAGGCACAGCGGCGCGGCAACGACGCAGCAACCGACCGAACCGACGCGACCGAACTCAACCTGATGCGATGCAGCCGAAAAAACGACTGGACCGCGCGCCTGCTTGCTGCTTCTTAAGTCGGGCCTGTCCCCCTACAAGCGGATTTTCGAGGAAAAATTCAAAATAGACAGAAAATATTCAAAAATGGTCAAAAAATAGTCAAAAAATTGTCCCCCGACGATCTTTTAACTATTTTTGAATATTCCTCCTGTAGAGCGACAGGCCCGAAGTAATGGTAGCGCTGGCAGGTACGAGCGCGACTGCAGGGCCGGCGGGCCGCGCCGAGCACTTGGCGCATCAGGGCGGCTGGGGAAGCAGAGGACGGCCGCGAAAGCGGAAGAGGGAAGGGAGTCGGGAGCGGCCAAGAGGGGGGTGTCCAAGAGAGGGGGGGGGCCAATCATGACCGGCAGCATGTGCGCGGCCCAGCGGGGGGGGCCAGGGACGTAGTGGAATAAGAAGAGGCGCCATGAAATCTGAGGAAATATCATGGCCCCCGCCATGATATCCAACCCCCCCTAGTCCTCACCCCCTCGTTGCCGCCCCCGAGGGAGGCCCGGGCCGCCGACTCGACGGGGGCTGGGCGCGCGCCGGCAGCCTCGGGCACCCGAAGCCAGCGAAACTCGGGTCGGGCGAAAGGGGGGGATAGCAAAGGGGGGGTTTGAGAATCCGCTCACGTAGCTGATTTTCCTGGCGCCTCCTGGCGCCTGGAGGCGCCCATGTGTCGAGGAATGGGCCCCTGGGTGGGGCCGCAACCAGCTGCATGCAGCAGATTTCGTACCCCCCCCCTTTCCCAATGCCCCCCTCTCGTTCGGCCCGAGGGAGGCCCGGGCCGCCGACTCGACGGAGGCCGGGCGCGCGCTGGCAGCCTCGGGCACCAGAAGCCGGCGAAGCTGAAGGGGCCCTGGGACACACAACTAAATGCACACACATAAACCCATAGTTTCCTACATTTTCTGGGGCTTTGCCTTCCCCACCACTTCCCATATGTTCCTATACTTTCTGGGGGAGTCGACGATTAATTGTGTCTGTGTGTTTTTTCCCCTCCCGAGAAGCGCCAGGCGCGGCGCGCGGAGCACACGCCGCCGGAGGGGACGGCCGGGCTCCACGGCGGGGCAGGCCGCCGGCGGGCCACGGGACCACCCACACGGGAGGCGGCCGGGGGGTCTGAACTGGAGGGGCCCGTCGGCCAAGGCGGGGGATGGAGCCAAACCCGCTGACAATTGGTGACTACCTACCAGACCACCCCAACCCAACCCGAAGAGCCGAATTTCGGGTTGGGGGGGGGTAAGAGTTCCACATGTGTTTTTTCGATGTTTCCCGACCCCCCCCCCCCACTGGAAATCGAGGGCAAATCTGAGCCTTCGGGTTGGGTTCGGGTGGTTTGGTGGGTGGTGAAATGGTCTCCAGACCCCTCCCAAAGCGCCCCCCGGGTGCACCGCGTCACCCCGGATCCGTGCTGGACTGCCCCAGGGCTGGGAAACTACCCTCAGGCACCGGGAAGCAAAGAAGTACAACCAAAAAACTCGAACCCAGAACCTTGGACCGCACCCTGGGCCACCTGGGACCCCCCAACCAGTCCCAACGCGCACACGCCCTCTCCTCGACGCCAATCGACACTATTCGACGCGAGATCGGCGTTTCCCCATGGATTACCACACGCTACACAGAGAGAACGCACTCGAAGGACGGAATTACGTGCGTACACAACGCCCCCATGATTTGTAACCGATATGTTTTCGGCCGCGAGGAGTCCAGTAGCGTGAGAGCGACGGCGGGATGCAGCCAAGGCGAGTTGGGGCATGCAGGGCTCGCGCGGGGCGCTGAGGGGAGGGCCCGAGGAGGGCCCTGGAGGAGAAGGAACCACGCTCATAATGTGCAAATCTTCGCGGGCGTGCCGAGGTGCAAGGACATGAAGACGTCAACGTTTCGCTACCGAACACACACCTGTCCCAGGGAGGAGGAAACGCACCACTACAGCGACCACCTGGAGGATAGAGGCAAAAGGTTGCCAGGG